ACTCGTAGAGATTCACCAAAATTGACCGTTCTCTAGCTTCTTGGCAGATGCCCTCAATCGCATTGTATTTGCTGTTTATAGTTTATCGGCGGCAATTTGGTCTGGTTGCTCGATCGATGCGGTGCCACTGCAGGCGGGCGCTCCAATGCTGCACATTCGTTTTATGCACCAAGCTTGTACGGGTATCTGTTATTTACAATTTTCCTTTATCATCTCCAAGCTCGGAAAGAAAGTTTAAAAAACAACAACTGGCTGCTGTGCCAGGAAGTTTAACGGAGCTGCGATGTGCCCTGGAGTTCCTCAAAGTTTCCTGCAATCACTCTCTGCTCTGCCACCTGAATATGAAATGGCAGTTGTTGTTCTGCATCTGAATCAGCTGTACGAAAAAACGATTTTGCCTTCGTTCCCAGCAGCAGCCGTGGAAGTAGAGGTCTTAGTTCAAGCATTGCTGGATGAAGGTCTCCCTCGCCACCATGCGGGTCACAGAGCCCCTTTCATCAACCTGCACTAAACACCGTCCTCAAGTGTAGTTTATAAGCACTGACGCGGTTGCTAACGCCACGGAGTGTAACGGAGGCGCTAACGCGGGGGTCACTAAGTGAGGATCTATTGAGGCCACTAGCACGATCATTAACAGAGTCACTCACGAACAGAGGAGCAAACATATGCACAAACGCAGTCTGCCGATGGGATGTTCTTCTCATCGCGTGAACTAACACAGTCACCAGCACAATCTTGATTTGAAGCTTTCGTGACTGTAGGAATCCATGCTCTTTGGTTCTTTCGGTAAAGTCACAAAGGTAGAAATAAAATAAAATAAAACAAATGACATTAAAATTTTGATTTAAAGCTTTCGTGACTGCAAGGATTCATATTCTTGGTTCTTTCGGTAAAGTCACGTAGAAGGGAAACAATAAAATAATAAAAATATAAAACAATAAAAAAAAATTCACGACGTTTCAAGAAAATTTGAAAAAAAATGGCGTTTTTTTTCTTAACGTTAAGAAACCGCCACTTTTTTCAAATGTTCTTGCTGTGGTTTTCACACCTGATGATGATTGCTCGTGTTGCAGTCGAAACGTCGTGAGAATTTCTCATTGTCTCATATTTTTATTATTTTATTGTTTCCCTTCTACGTGACTTTACCTTGAAAAAACCAAGAATACAAATTGACATTTGTTTTACTTTGATTGATTTGTTTTATTTTATTTTATCTCCAACTACGTGACTTTACCGCAAAGAACCAAAGAGTATAGTCACCAACACGGTCACTCGCGCAGTCGCCTCCACAAATGCACCCGCGCGTGCGGCCACTGACACGTGCACGTACGTGGTCACGAAAGCGGTTCGCTAATGGCGCCGCGATCGAGGCTCACCGAGAGGGCGCCCGGTGCAGGATTCTCCGCGCGCAACGTTCTCTCGGGAAAGCTGGCACGCATGTAAGCGTCTGCCACGCAAAACGCGCACAAGTAAATAAATAAAAGTGCTCTGCTTCCCGGAGGAATTTTAAACCATCTGGAATGACTTAGGAGTCAGCGTCCTGGCAGACACCCCGTGACCTACATTCCACGACGGTTCCAGTTCTCCTGTGCCTCCTCCTAATCATTTAAAGCCCTTAATTGAAAGGAATTGAGGGTGCTTAACTCCTTTAAATATTACTAGCGAACGGAACACGATGTCAAGGAGCGCGTAAAGTGTGCTTGTCGTGTGTAGGGTTTCGCTGCTTGTGGCCATGCCTAGATATACCATTTCTATAATGGCTTTCAGTTGTTTGGGCCAACTGTGCACGACATTACCGCATCATAAATTTCACCGATAAGAGTGTCTTATGTTGGCTTCTAGAAAGGGGTGATGATGCTGGAACCCAGAAAGTGGAATCAGCTCAGAGGTAAAAATGCCAGGTGTCACAGCAATCACCAGCCCTCTATTTATTAACCTGAAGATAACATTCTGTTATCAGCAAGTTCACAAATGCATTGCTCAACACGCAGCAGTGTCCAGAAAGGACTTCAACAGCCTTTCTAAGGTTGTCAAAATGGGTAGATTAACACCTTACATTAACAACTAATTTCATTACCATTACTTTTTTATGGTTTGATCGCTTTCATTAATTTGTTCTAAATATAGGCCTGTGGCTGCCGAGCCTGAGCCGAGAGGAGTCACGCGGCTGCGGGGCTGCATGTCCAGGCCAGTCTAATGGGACTTCGCTGCCAAGTGAAGGACGCCACGGGGAATACCAATGAGGCTTCACACTCGCCAAGCTCTGGCCTTCAAGGACCCACCCAGCCCAGCGACCCCGCGGTCGCCACACCAGCCTCCACCACCCCCCCCCCCCTTTCTCTTGAGGATTTTTTTAGTTTTTCGCTTTTCGAGCAGCAGCCGGGGGAGTTGTGGCACAGAAGTGAAAACTCTTAATGTCTCTATTCCCACAAGCCCCGGGCCAATGTCGGATGCAAACCTCGCCAAGCCAAGCCACATCCATTAACCGCGTGGCCGGCGGATGCACCCCGCGGCCCCCACCCGCCCCCCGCCCTCCGCTCACCCAACCACTCACCCCCTCGCTCCCTACCGCGCGGCGGAGCCGATCGTCCGAGGCGGAGGTCTCGCACGGCGGCCGGCTCCGGCGTAGTGCATTTGTGGCAAAGGCTCCGGCGTTTACAGTCAATTAGCCATGGCGTCCGCGGCACGCGGCGTTGCCAATGCGTGCTCGGGCCCAGCGGGGTCAGGGAGCCGCATGGCTCCGCACGACGCCGGCGCCGTGTGGCAGCGCCGGACGCTCTCGAGTCATCCGAGGTTAGCGAAAGAAGACCGGGTCGCATTCTCGAAGCGAGCAGCGGTTCAAGTAAGGCCCTGGTGTCCACTTAAATAGCGGCGCACCAAAAGCATCGCTCACGCTCCGTGCTGCGACGCTCGTTAATGGGGAAAACCCAGCGTGCTACGCTCGGCAATTCCGCTGGATTGCGACGAAACGTCTGTACATTTATTCTCTATTGCTTACTTGCTTATTATTTGTAAATCTTCGTAAGGGAAATGAAGTACGCTTTATGAAATCGCCAGATGGGTTCGTGCGAGCCTCGCTGCCTGCGCTGGTGCAGTTAGACCAGCAACCCATGAACGGCTTAATCCTCCACTCAGAGCAAAAGGGAAGTGACACGCAGCCTCATTAAAATGTGCCCCGACTACTTTACGGATAACTTAATTCACGGGTCTCCGCGCTTGCATTCACGCTCGTGCATTACACGGCGACGAAAAGAAAAAACGTCGCCAATTCAACGTCGCGCCGAAAACAAGGGCCCTTCATGCGCCGCGAGGGCTCTCATGGTGGCGCGTGAACGTCTTCTGTAACACAACCACCGACATAGATTTTGTTTTCCCATTTTTATCTCGATTTTTATCTCCGTATCGCGTTGCGGCCGTTACGTAATGTTGAGCTTCTTTCGCACCGAACGTAGCCAGCCGCGCTAATCAGAGGTGCAGGCAAAGGACAACAAACTAAATACAAAAAGCAGCTCTAAAGAAATTAGTTTTCAATTTAGATTTAAAAGTGCCATAGCTCCGGTGGCTTCCTCATATCGGAAGGAAGAGTGTTCCAGACGGCCGCAGGAGCGCATCTGAAAACGCGCGATGCAGCGGCCGTCTTTGTTTGATGGTTAGCCAAAAGCCGCTGCGAGGATGACCAGAGTTTGCGTGATGATTTATGCTCCTTGCCGAGAGTCAGCGAGGCATCGTGGTTCATTCGTGGCAAGCACTTTGTGCGCAACGAGCGCCCAATGCACCCAGCGCCTGGCGCTTTGGGATCGCGCATGCCTGTGGGTCACAAGTAGACGCGGCCGCAACGCCCCGCGCATTGTGCTTCCTCATCGGAGCCCTGGCGGGTGGTTCGCCTGCTGAGCACGCGTGTGCCCAAGGTATGAAAATAGCTCCTTCAAGTGTCGCGACGATGGTGCTTTAGCAGGCGAAAACTGGTTGAACCTAACAATAACAGAGGCCCAAAGGCTACGAACAGATGACTGACGTGACGGCGTCACATTTCAATTAAGGAGGCATTCTCAAACACGCTGGCGCAGCTGCGCTGGGTTATCCGAGGGCTTCTGCGTTGGGATCAAACTGACAAGGAATTAATTTACACCCATGCACGGCAGCCACTCAAGTGCTGCATGATTCAATCCCTTAATATCCCTTACTGGGAACGCGATTCTGCTGTGCATAAAGATCAACATTACCGCAACAATTTTTGTTCATGTCGACTGGCCCGCAATGGCCCCTTCAATCTCAATAATCGTTACAGTAATGCGCCGCACGTCCTGTAAGGTTTATTTTATTTTTGTTTTGCCACGCACGAATGTGCACTTTGATTTTGTTTTATTCTAACAGCTCGCCCATAATGCCGTGGGAAATTGAGGCTCATGACTCTTAAGCTCGCGTTCGTTTAAATACACGATCGCAGCGCGCGCACCGACTACGGCAGGGAGCTGCGGACAGATGAAGAGTAAAAGTGAGCCGCCGCATGTAATCTCCACATTATCCATGCTCGCTGCCTCCCATGCGAGGCTCGGAGCGCGCATGCCTACAGAGGCAGCGGGGGCAGCAGCGGCGCTGCTTTCACTCACCGACGCCGCGCCTCGGCCCATCCCCATCTCTAGCCCCTCGATGAGATTTTTGTCGTAAAAAAATAAAATCACGGCAAAAGCCCGGGTCTCACGAAATCCTCCTGCAAGCGGCGTGTACAATTTCCACAGCAATTCAACGCACGCGCGCCACTACTGGCAATGCGGCGCTTTTTGCCCCGCAGCGTGGGAAATGGAAACGCAATAATCTTCGAGAAGTCGGCAGATGTGCAAATAGACCACGGCGTGCCCGTTGCCCCAGAGTAACCTTTTCTGAGCGAGCACTCCAAGCAACCGAGGCACGGAGCACGGAGCCGCACGTTAGGACGGGCGATCAAAAACCCACGGTGCCGACCCAGCGGACGGATCCCAGGGGGGGGCGGGAGCACTCACTTGCCGGAGACGGCGTGCTGTAGCCACTGACGGACATCTGGTGCAGTGGGTGAAGGCCGCCCAGCCTCTGCGGCGACATGGCCCCGCCGCCGGACCCCGGGAAGAGGAAGGGGTAGGCGCCGGCGGCGTAGGCCGGCAGGTGACCCTTGGGGCTCGGGGTGGAGCACGTGCTGCTGCTGGACGCCATGCCGGCCGCCCGACGGGGCCGCCGCTCGGCGCTCGCGGACTCCGCGGATCCAGAACAGCGCCGCCCTCCTCCGTCCAGCCTCCCGCCTCCGTGGGGCAAAGTCCACGACAGGCGCACGGCGACACGGCGGTCTCTGCACTTTGTCAAAACGGGGGCTCGTAAAATAAAGTAAAAAAAAAAAGTACAGTGGACAGTTCCTCGGTGGTATCGAATATCAGCGAGGCCGCAGTGCAGATGTGTTCCACTCTGGCTCGCGCGGTCGACTGCCGCGCAGCATTCCGAAGTGCTTTTGGTCTCAGTTCGAGCCGCCTCCCCTGGAGTCTCTGCAGTGCATCTCAGTTTTTACGCTCGGTGCGATCGGCTGATGTAGATGCAGTCATGGCGCAGAGCCGCGGATTGAAGTTCAATTAGGCGTCACGCTCCCCGCCCTTTGGACGCCGCGATAGGAGCTCCCGGCCCACAGACTCCGCACAGATCAGTACCTGCGGGAGATAAAGAATCCAAAGGTCAGTCGCCCTAATATAGTTCAAACGGACACAAACCCGCCACCGTACACCCGGTCCAACTTACACACTAAGAGAAATGAAATGGTGCCCATTGGGATGGTGCCACAGGGCATGGAGGGTTCAGGAGAGATGCTGCCACTTGTAAAGTCGGTCAGAACGCTGCGGTGCCATGCAAAGCCAGTGGGCTGCAGGGCGGGAGGTGACATCGAAGGAGAGTGACTCGCAAGGATGTGCCATCGCCAGGGAGGACGTGGACACTGACATCCTGAAGTTTCGTTTTCCCTAGACGTGGAAAAACCCTTGGGATTTTTTTTAAAATTAGAATAAGCTTTTTGAGTGGTAATTTTCTTTTCAAAAATGCATGAGAGGGACTGGCCCTGTAAGGCCTACGAGTCCCACAAGAGGGAGAGCCGGGCCGTGCTCGCAAACAAACACGGGGGCTTCTGCTACATTTCACCCGAGCATTTACACGACAACGCAAAACGCACGATTAACAATAAACGGCAGCGAAAATGACCGCAGGGATGATGTACATGTCACTGTGATGACGGCATTCACGACGGACTCAACAGGGGGGAGGGAAGAAAATTGACAAAAGTGTAAAGTGTTTGAAAAACGGTAAGGAAATTCGTACACCTTCCATTACTGGAACGTGTTTAGCTTTCAAGATGTAAAGGGGCAATAAAGTATGGTGATAAATACACCACCGAGTGTTTTTTATCTGGTGGGTTTGTTTATTCAGACTGAAACATATTTCACTTTTTAAGCCCAGATAATATTGTCTCGCCCACTTGACAATCTCTCAAGCCCTTAAGCAGATTACTTTGCCGCCCAACAGGAGTTATGTTGTGCTGTACGTGCGCGCTCACAAGTGCGCAACCATTTAAAAGATGAATATTTTGCACGGTCTGCATCGGTGCTTAATGCTAATAGAACGCTTAAAAAAAAACATTTGCTGGAGCGTCACGGCGCAATTCCACACGGCTTCCCTCGCGAAACAAGGGCTGCTCAAGCTGCGGGTGCCGCGGTCGTCACGTGAATAGATCGACGACGATTCCATCTCCCGAGCGGCGGTGGGCACTGCTCAGCCGGCCCAGTGGCTCAAAGCATTTACACCAAAGCGGGTTTCGGAAAGTTGCCAGTTCAGACGGGACGCCACGGTGGCGAGATGTTAACTGTCTCGCCAGGTATACAGGAGGTCGCGGGTTCGATCCCGACCAAGACGCCCGCTGTATATTTGGAGTTTGCATGTTCTCCCCGTGGTCGTGTGGAATTTTTCTCCGAAGTCCTCCGGTGCTTCCCTCAGCATGTAGAAACACGTGTGTAGAGTATTTGGCTGCTATGATTTTCCACATAATGAACCACTTCCTTGAGCTGCCATATGCGGCCAGGTCGCTTCTGAAAAAGAGCTATATAGCCCCAGTGGGCCTTACCTGGTCAAATAAAGTTTAGTTTGAGTTTAGATCCTTGTTGGGGGATGACTCTGCCCATCATTCCTCCGAGGTCGATAAAATAGTACCACTTTGTAGGGAATTCAAGAGTGGCTGTACCATGGAGAAACTCGCCCCCACCGGAGCTGCAAACAGGAGATGAGGCACTGCCTACTGAGCAAGAATTCACATTGATCACCGAGCACCAGTTGCTCGTGTTGTGAATCTCTGAGCATCCTGTCTGCAACGTTTGTACGTTCAACTTCTTTTGCACCGTCCGTAGCCAACCGTTCTCATCGGAGGTGCAATATGTACGGTCCCATCATTATTTGGGTCACTGTCATCAGTCACGATCTCACCACCGCTGGGGTAAAGGCCTCCACAAACCAACACCAACCCTCATGGGCACGCGATGCAAGAGCCTAGCTATGCAACGCGTTGATTTCAACATCACTGCAAGCCAAGGCCATAGCCATAGAGTCAACATTGGGGGGGACCAAATCTTCCAGGGGGTCTGGGGGTACTCCCCAGACAAAAAATCTAAATTTGAAAACGAATTGCACTAACACATTTGATGGACTTATTATTTATTTATTACAATAATGTCTAATAGTGTATTGTATTCCATTGCTTTTTTTTACATTTATTGTTCCATTGTATGTAATGGCAGAGAATAGGGATTAATAAAGTACAACCATAACCACAATCATATAAACAGAAATCTATTTTATAGCAATATATTGGGGAGGGGGGACATTTTGAGCATATTTGAATATTGGGGGTGATGTGTCCCCCCCCCCCAATATATAATTACGGCCTTGCTGCAAGCCCTACTCGCGTGGTAACATAGTTCTGTTCACTCAATCGCGTTATATCCAACTGGCTTGATGAAAACACGGCACTATGGGGAGGGCAGACCTGTGTTCCACGTTTTCCCTCCTCGCTTGTCGTTCGCCTAGCGGCGTCTCCTCGCCTCTTAAGCACGCGGACTTCTATTCGGGGTACAGTAATGGATGATGAGAGGAGGGTCTCGGGGTGAAACAGCGGAGCTCTCAACAATATTCTTAATGCGCGTCAGTAACTTGCGCATGCGCGGCAACCGAATCGATCAATAACCGCCGCCAGGGAAAGAACCCCCCCCCCCCCCAACTTTGCAAGTGTTTCCGTGAACCACCGCAACTCTATTAGGCAATCACAACAAACTGAAGGAGGAAAAAAAAACACGTGACCCAATATAAACAAACCAAAGGTGGCTGCCATACGTCCAGGCGCGGTTTCCCTCCACGACACGAACGACTGCGCTGTTGCTTGCAAGCGGTGCAAATACAGCGGCCCATCCATACACATGACACTTAAGCATCAGTATCGAGCACTACGCGCACATGCGGAGACACGCACACATATAAAGATCCCCCGGATAGCATGAACAGACTGTTGGGGCAAGTGCTGTTAGTGAGCACCTATGAAGGCCGGCATGGCACACGAGGGGTGGCTGGACCAGAACCACGCCCGACCGCCTTTGTCTCCCCAGTGGCGATGTTTACACACCACGCCAGGTACTCATTCGAGTCTGAGTCGACCTAGGGGAGGCCCAGGACCGGTTCAAATAACCGTCGCTGATGTTGGCCATGAGCGGGAACTGAACCCGGGTTGGCAGGTTTGTAGCGCTAACCACTACACTACCGCTCCCCACAACCAAGACACACACACACCAAGACACACGCACAGACACTCATCCACAAGCATGCACTCACAAACCCCCCCCCAACACATCGCAGTGTGCTGCAGCATTCCGCAGCACAGGCTCCCAGCAACTGCTGCTGCTGTGGCTTGAGGCTGGACACACATTGCCAGCCGCACACGTTCGCCAACATCCCAGTGGCTCAACAAACCACTTGTGCTGCGCAAAGATCCCCCTAGATAACGGTCATGGAGGGGGGGATACAACATTATTCAGCGAGCACCTATTAAGGCCAACTTGGTTTCCCCAGCGCTGATGTTGACATAGTGCACTCGCTACCCGTTTATCGCCGGGTTGACCTCGGGGAGGTGAGGCCCGAGACCGGGTCAGACGTCCACCGCTTGGCCGTCGGCTGTGAGCGGGAATCCAATGCAGTGCTGGTCACCGTGTGTCGCAGCACAGTGCCTAACCGCTGCGCCACCGCTCCCCAGTGTCCAGCAGGCGTGTCTCCATTGGAGGTTCAGCCCTTGGAATGCAGGCGTTAGTATTCCTATACTCTGTGGTTCGTTCGGTAAAGTCACGTAGGTAGATATAAAATAAAACACACATTTGGGCCTAACAAGCGGAGCACTGACTCCTATATATCCAGCTCGGCACAAATGCATTTGTGACTGCATTTATTTACTGACACATTGATCACGCTTAATGGCCACTTAAAACAAGGTTCGCGTTCCATGCCCAATAGGTGTCCAGCAGCCCTGAAAACAACACTGCTAAACAGGGCCATGTCCTGTTTGCACACACAGGGTAAAGTACCCAAGGATTACATTTTTCAACCGGGTCTGTCAAAATATATTTCAGCACCTAGCACACCACATTCAGTAGACCTCTTGCCATGGCCGTGAACTATCATCTATTTGCTATTTTACCAGGTAAGGGCCACTGAGCTACGTAGCTCTTTTGCAGAAGCGACCTGCCAATCACAAATGATAGCTCAACGACGTCGCTCATCATCGTGTGGAAATTTACAGGGAGCAGCCAAATACTTTGAACGCGTGTTTATAGATGTGGCGGGGGGAAAAACCGGAGGAGAGAGACACGCGAACTCCAAAAACGCAGGCGTCAGATTTGGGATCGAACCCACGACCTCCGGCATACCTGGCGAGGTAGTTAACATCTCGCCTCTCCGCGGCGCTCTGCTGCTCGTCGCGTGCCCAACGCAGGTCTCCCCCCCCTCCTCCCCCCCCCCGGCGATCCCCGGTCACGCATTCGGCAAGAGCGCTCCTGGCCATTTCTCCCTGCCACTGCCACGCTGGGCGTTGAGCGCGCGGAGCACGCGAGCAGTCAGCGAGCGAGTGGGGGCCGGACCGACCCGAGGGCTGCCTTGGGTGGGTGTGTGTGTTGGGGCGGTGGTGTGTGGGGGGGCCGCCTGCCTCATCAGCTGACAAATGATGACTTGGCCTGGGCAGGCACGGCCAGCGAGGCCGCGTGCACTGTACCACCCACACCGCGCGCCCATGGGAGCAACCGGAGCGCTGGCCTCCCGCGCCGCCGCCGCCGCCAAATAAGCACGATAAATAATGCACTCAACCCGCTTCACCTACAAATCCCCGAGACACGCGGCCGAGATTTAATTATGTCGGTCACATACGCGCTGCCAGGGCTGTAAGGGTCCGTTCTTCCTAAGGGGGGGGGGGGGGGGGGGGGTGCAATGTAGCTGTCCCCCTTAACAAATTACTCCGACATAAAATCCTGTAATGGCTCGCATCATTAATGAGTAATTGGTCAGAGCTCGCACGCTATTCCATCGCGGTTCGCTCTGCTCGGCTGTATTTTTGGAAGACTCCTCCGAAAAGTGAGAAATC